ACACAAAATTTCTGACAAAGAAACTGTTTCGCCTTAATGACAATTTATGCATCATTCTTATGAAAGAAAAACTACTTTTTGATTTTGTAATTGTCACGCATTGATAATAATCTAGCTACTTGAGGATTTTTTCGTGGCCATTCTGAAAACAGTGCAAACATGGTGTGTTTTTACACAACGGAAACAATATGGTCGATTGGATGATTGAGCATTGCAGACGTTTCGATCCGTGGCTCACCGGCTTTCTTCAAGGGAGAGAGGTTGTATGACTTCAGAAGCATTTTTGTGGTTCGCAGCGATGGGCAGGTTTCGAGCCAGAAGAGAACCTTTTGGTCCTGCTGCCTCTTAGATGTTTTTCTGGCCGTTAAGCTGGCTCAATCCGTGCAGAGTTCATATCCTTTTTCACAGCTGATGTTGTCGCAATGGTGTCTTCTTGACGCGTTGTTTCAGCCACTGTCTTTCTTTGACTCTGTCAGTGTACTCTTGTTGTTGGTGAGGTAGGGTTTCCTTCCTGTAGCTAGTGCTGCTCATTCCACGATACTTTTTGTTGCCAAGCATTTTCTTGCGTTGGATTTTATTGGTTCCTCACGACTGAAACAGTAGTACGAACTTTTAGCGCCAAATGTGAATTAAAAGCGGTTTATTATTTAGAACCTTTCTGTTCCTGGGATTTTCCTAATCCTGTAGATTTTTTCTGTCTATTTGCAGAGTGTCTGTCCGACATCAGATCAGTTCTTATTCCCTGTACGTGTTGGTCGACCAGTGTTTAGATGTTTTAAACCTGCTCCATGTATCTTTATCTATCATGATGCTGAAGGCAGTTACCAACTAGAATCTAGTTTATCGCCATTCGATTTTCATTTTCAGAGTACTGAAATATCAAGTAGTTTTCGAGCAGGAGAAGCCTACTGCTAACCAGTTCAGAATGAAGTCGTAATCACGTAAATCAGTGTCGTCTATTGTCTCTGTGTGCCTGAACTCCTCGTAGTGTATCTTGTTGCTGATACTATTTCCGTCGCATGATCGAAGAAACGGTTAATTTTTTAGACTACTTCCATTTCTACTAGGTCCATTTCTGATCATACTGACCTCTAGAGGTGAAGGAGTATACACAAGCTTTTGTGGGTCGACGCAATTCACGTTACATGTGTTAGAACACCAAAATAATTGTTATTCGTTCGATCGTAAAAATTGTACCGAACGGTTTTTCTTGAAACTGAAATCTCACGCATCCTTTGGAAATTGTCCAATAGAAAAAAATGCGCTTTATCGATGAACCGGTTTCTCGTCGTTCGCTGCGTAAGCAGCTGACCGGAATAAACTCGCCTTTAGCATAACCTAAAGTTAGAATCGTGCAGAGGGACGGACCGTAAAACCTGTTGGGCAAATTGAAAGTCAGGCGCATCATAAATCCGCTTTTGCCGATCGTCGTGTAACGGAGTCGTGCAGAAGAGACGACCCAGAAAGGCAGGTAGAAAAGTCGAAAACCAGCTTCATGATTCATTTGCTTCGCAGGCATCCACGATCAGCACATCTATGCTAGACCTCGTCTCGACGGAAGCTGCCTGGAGCCGTTTCTCGAAGCAGTTACGACGAGCGGTGCGCAAATGCGCTAAAATGTACATAGGTAAATCAGCGTAGTAAATGCTTGCCCGCTTTTCTAAAGGAGGCTTCTATTTTATGTTTAGAAGTTCATAGGTAAGCTCAGGTGAAAAGAGAGCAAATATCGGTCTTCCATGAGGGGACAGTTTATTTTGCCTTTCGTAGTTAACGGATCTTTGTTTCTATGCGATCAGCTTGGCTCTGTTTTAAAGGGAGCGTCGTCCTAAGTTTGGTGTGGTAGCAGAGTGCCTTAGGGGTCAGTTTTGTACTCGAGAAATGCGGATCTCGAATCCGGCCAAGGAATACTCTTTGCCTTATCCGCGAATACCCTCGAACAAGGAAATAACCCCACGTTGCTTAGGCCCAAACTGACGATCCAGTGTAATAATCAGCACCAGACGTAATCTCGATTTTGATTTCGACAGCAGCTGTGCGGTGTGCTATTTTCTGTTTCGTTTTCACAAACTGGTACTCATTAATCAAATTACTGATTCGGCCGGGGCTCGAACCTGCGACCATTCGGTTCTGGCCCGATGCTCTACCAACTGAGCATCCTAAATCAAAATTCAAATCACGCTTAACACACTTTTAAAGGTATACTTGATGACTTGTTTAGTTAACATCCTCAATTTTTATTTCAACTTTGTCATGTGGGTTATTTCCCTTCAGGACACTTAGTTAATTGCATCAAAGCTTTTAACCTCGTGACCTACGCTAGACTCTGGAAAGTCATGCTGAAAATAAGATTTTCACCTGACCTAATCTGACTGTTGGAACACTGTACAACAGTTCAGTAGCTGTGGTGTGAATATTACTATGCCTTTCTGTGTGATCGTTTCCCTACCAGCAACTTGATATACTACAGTTGACGTCGTACCCAACATCATTTAACCTATTCGGCGAAGCCATTATTAAGCTGTACAAAAAATGTCGAAATCAGAGGAAAGTCGACCACACTTCTGCAACGTATCTAGAAGATGGAGTACTTGTCGCAATATGCGAAAAGGAAATGCAACAGTGTTGAAGCAAAGCAGCATTTTAATCGACTATTACATTGGTATTGAATATCAACATTCCAAACGGAAAAGAGCGTCGAAGAATCTTCCCTCGTCTGTAAGATCTAGTCTTTTTACGCCTGTGACGTTATTCATGACTCCATTGCAAAAGCGTTATTTCGGTTTTACGTACAGCTACGCTTTGGATTTGACAATTCTTTCCCTTGCACAGCCACGGCCCATGTTACATCGCCAGTTGTCTATAGGGGGCAATGAGTTTCCCGGAGCAGATGGTTCCTTCCTAATCATTCTGCAGTGGATTTTTATTGTATGCGAATGACATAGTGAAATATCAAAGTTGGCGACTCTTAGAAGGTTGGAGTACTTTTCTATGTTTTCTGTGCTACTGTTCTGAAGATCATATGTACAGTCGCAAACTGCGGTCGTTTTATGCGGTTCGTTAATCCTTCTTCACTTCAGGGTCGATGAAGCAGTTGTTTTCTTCTATGTTAAATGTCACTCACAACACAGTGTTGCTCGAAGTTCCAATGGACAAAAGCACCAAGCTCCTCTTACAGTACGATTTCTCACGGTGTATCGCAAGATCATCTGTAGCGTTACAACGCGTCAGTTTCGATTACGTGACCAAGGTTGCTCAGTCGGTGGAGCGTCAGACTCAGAACCGATCGGCCTTCGCTTCAAACCACAGTCAAATCACTCGTCTTTCTTCCTTTCGGGGCTGATGATGAATGAGAATCTCTCTTTGGGAAGAAAACAGGAGACTACCGACTATGTTTTCCATATGATTGTTGTTGATTTTGCCTTTAAAATGAGAACTGATGACATATGAAAATTGAAATCAGCGCCCCAGCATTAATTCCATGAACAGAAACATGCATTAAATGGCCAGATCATAAAAGTGTTGATGATACCTACATTCAAAAGTTGCGAACTTTTCTTTTGCTTTACCTCCATTACGTGTATATGCATGCCAGAACAGATCTTAACCACAAATCAATCATTCGACCTTCGGTGCGGGTTCTCTAAGACTCAGACACATTTAGATTGCATTGCTTGTACATGCTTAATGTACATGATTAATATTTTTTCCTTTTTTT